TTTTGCTTAAATTAGGGAGCTCTGGTGATATAGTAGTTAAAGCATTTGGCTGCTAACCAAAAGGTTGGAGGTTTGAACCCACCAGCCACTCTGCAGGAGAAAGATGAAATAGTCTGTTTCCATAGACATTTACAGCCTTAGAAACCATATGGGGCAGTTCTACTATGTCTTATAGGGTTACTATGAATCAGAATCGACCAAATAGCAGTGGGTTTGGTTTTGATTTTTGGTTAAATGAATGAACATAAAACTTTTATACTAACTGAAAATATTTAAGCATTCTACAGTGAGATGTAAACATTTTACAGTATGTGTGTCCTTACTAACCTTGAAGTTGGCCATTTCTCATGCTCTGGTATAAGAAAAGATAAGCTTCTTAGAGATGAAGAACTGAGACCCAGAGAGGTTGAGATGGGACTTCTAAACACCACTCCTCCTACATGTCTCATTTCAGATTCCCTTATATTCTTCACAGCCTTTGGCACAAGACAACAAATATTGTGTGTGTGTGTGTGTGTGTATCCCTTTCTTTTCCTTCCCACTACTTGTGATTTTCCATTTATTGTGTCTAAATAGCTTTTGCTTTCAGTGTTTTTCTCTCTCTTCCTACTTCTCTCACAAATTTTTCACCATTAACCTGCTTGTCTTCTTGCCCGGGGAATCGGTCCATAACAACAAACAGCCCAAAACCAAGCCCACTGCCATCAAGTTGATTTTGACTCTTAGTGAAACCCCCATTGGGTCTCCAAGATGGTAAATCTTGATGGGAGATTGCCCCTTCCTCCCTCCCCTGAGCCACTAGGTGTATTTGGGCTGCCAACCTTCCAGTCAGCAAATGCCTTAGGCACAGTCCCATCAGAGCTCCTTTACCCAACACGGCCCTGCATATTCAGGGTTTTAGCAGGCAAGGCTCCAACTTACATCTGGTGGAGAGAGCTGGCCCCTAAGTTGCTTTCTGTCTTGCAATAGGTCCAAAAGGGCTGTTTAAACAGTAAGTTTTATTTCTGTCAAGAAACAGGGCTTTGTATGTTTTGGCAGACACTTTCCCTCCTTCAGGTCTTTCCTCACACTGTTTATTTTTGTTTGGCTTTATCTTGGAAGTCACAATTCTATTTTCTATCTCTCCCTCCTTGCCCAACGTTCTCTTCCTTGACTTGTCTTTTATTATGTGTTAAATTTTCCTGTTTTAGAACCCATCACGCTCACCTGCTTCCTTGCTATCTCACACTCCCTGTCGTTTCCCATCATTTATACATATTTCCTATTTCACCCCGTAAAGAAATGGTTTAAAAAAATGAGGTGTTAAACAACGATAAAAAAGGAATTAGAGATTCTAGGCGGAGAGTCTAACCAGCCACCCTCTGCACCGGAACCCCGAGCGTCGGGAATCTTGCACGCCCGGGGGTATCCGGGCCTACAGAACAGGGTCAGCATCAAAGCGCCCAGGCGTCGGGAGGGCTGATAGGTTCCCGAAAGAGCCAATCAGAAAGCAAGACGGTGCACGGGTCAGGGAGGGCCAGGTTCACCGAGCCGATGAGTTAAGTAAAAGGGGCAAGTGTTCCAGGCACCCGGGTTTAGCATGCACGTTTGCCCCTATCGGGGAACTATTAATCGTTAACTCTGATCCCCTCAATCTCATCTTCCGACTTTCCCCGTTTCAAAAAGCTGAAATTGTAAGTAACAAGCAGAAAACACTACCTATCCTACCATTCATAATATGGTCATTAATAGTCAACCGAGAAGTGGCAGTGGAATTGGGGGGGGGGCGGGGGAGGCATTAAAACCTTCCCTACCTCTCCTTTTCCCTACTTCACTCCAGGTCGTCAATCGAACTCAGTCGGTTCTTGAAATAGCAACTCATTTAAACGCTGGCTTAATCGCCAAATCTGATTACCAAAATGCTATCATTAAACACTTGGAGTAAGTTACCCTCTCCCCAAGGACCGGAAGAAATAGTATTGGCATTTACCGAACGAGCAGGGTTTCACTACCTGCTGAGCAAGCACCGAATGAAATAGTAGCCTGGACGTCAGAAAACTGAGACCTTGGGAAATACACAACCGCGCACGCGAACGCTGCCACCCCAGGACTCGGACACCCGCCCCAGTTGCAGCGACAGCTCTTCCAAGCCTGTACCCCTGAAACTCTTCATGCGGGAGCACAGAGATCTGGGGAGGAAGGACGCAGATCCCAGATTTCCCTGCTGTGTTTCAAACTTCAGCAGAGCTGTTCTACCCACTTTCCTCCAAGAGTCACAGCGCCCGGATCCCCAGACCCCTCCAGCCTTAGCTTTCCCACGGTACGGCAGCTGTCCACCCCTCCACCACCCACTCCGGGGATGAATCGCCGCGTCCTAGGGGTTAGGGGGAGGGGAAGTGGGGAGAAGGGGGAAATGGCCAGTGTAAGTAAAAACGACCCCGCCGAGGCCTGGACGCCGGCTGCCAGCGGAGAGCGCTGGGGCCGAGAAGGAGGGAGAAGGAAAGGCTGGAAGCGTGCGGGGAAGGGCCGCGAGGAGAGCAGGGGCGACGCCGGTGTCGCTGCACTCACTCTGCGTAGCCAGTGGCCCAGGGCAGCCGCCGGGTCTCCTTGAGGATGAGGATGGGGCGGGCGATGTGGTCGGCGCTGCACTCCACCTCGTCCTGAGACAGCCCCAGGAACTCTGGCCGCCCGTAGGGGAAGCGCAGTGGCAGGTCCGAGCTTCCGCAGCCGCCGCCGCCGTGCTCGGAGCCTGAGCTGCCAGCCATGATGCCGCCCATGAAATTGGCCACGGCAGATTTCACTCGAGTGAGCATATTACTCCGGCGCCGGGCAGCAGCGGTGCGAACAGGAGGCGGCGGCAGGGGCCGGCCGAGGCGCAGCGCGGGGCATGCAGGCAGTGGCAGGGGCCGCTGGGGCAAGCCGCGCGCGGCTCCCAGAGCTTAGTGCTGCAGGGGGCAGAGCCCCGGCCTCCCGCGCTCGGTGCCACCGCCTCCCCCCGCCACACTTCCGCAACGGAGAGGCATGGAGCTGGCTGGCCCAGGGGGAGAAGACGCCAGGCGCTTCGCGAGCGGCGGGGCGGCCGCAGCAGCGGCAGGTCCCTTCTGCGCCCCCTGCGCCCGGATCCTTCGTGCACACAACTGAGCCCACCGGCAGAGCCGCTGGGGCTGCTGCCACGGCTACCGCTGGCGTGGAGTCATGTGATAATCAGGCTGCTAGGGCTCCTGCTGCTGCTGTAGCCGTTGCTCAGCCCCTCCCCTGCCGGCCCGAGCGAGGCTCGCCCCAGGTCCACGACCTCCTGGGGGAGGGGGAGACCGGTCTCTGTAGGTACCTGGCGGAGTAGGCGGGGGCGCTGTGAGCCGGAGGTTGGCCAGGTGTTATTGTTAGGTGCTCTCGAGTTGATTTAGAATCAATTCTGTTAGCGACCCTAGGTACCAGTGGTGTCACCAGGGGGACGGAGGGATGTGGACTGTACCTGTGACATTGTCAGAGGAGTAACACCAAAATGATTCAGTAAAATGTTGTGCAGTCAGCAGAAATTTACTATTTTCTATTAAAAGGCCCCTATAATTATTTATAACAACAAAAACATTTTTAGTAAACTCAGCTTACATGTATCAATATATCTACAAGTCTAAAACGCTATCCCAATTTACTTTTTGAACCTTCTAATGGCTCCAGTCAAAGCTGTCATTATTACCCAATTACAATGATGCTTCAAATCACGTGGTTTTATGCACCAGCTACAACCTCACTTTTTTTTGTTGTTGTTGTTGTTGTTGTTGCTCCCGATTTTGTCAAATTTTCTGGTGTTTTAGCTACAATATTATGCTAATTAATATTCATGAGCCTATATCAATAACTTTTTTGAGAATAAAGTAGTAATTAAAGGAAAAGAAAGAAAAATCATAAAAGTCTTTGCTCAGTTAATAATAATGTTGTAACTCATAAAGTAATTCAGTATTGATTTTACAAAATAATTTTGTAGTTAGTATTCATATAATCTGAGAAATACTACATTTAAGCAGTTTACAACTATGTCAGATATTATTCTATGGTTAAAATTCATAGTAAACATTTCTAAGGATTCTGTATGGTCTGGTGTGGGAGGACGTCCATGGTGTCACTCAGTTACTTCATGAGTGACACCAACCCTAGTGATGCCGCTGCCGTATGTAACAGAAGGAAATACTGCCTGGTCCTATGCCATCCTCACAGTTGTTGCTGTTTGAGCCCATTGTTGCAGCCACTGTGTCAGTCCATCTCACTGAAGGTCTCCCTCTTTTTCCCTAACCCTCCACTTTACCAAGCATGATGTCCTTCTCCAAAGACTAGTCTCTTCTGATAACATGTCCAAAGTACACGAGATGAAGTCTGGCCATCCTCACTTCAGGTAGAGCCCAACAGCCAGGAAAATCCAGTTGAGAAATCTACTTCCAGGGAAAAATGCTGCCTTGGCCCTTCAGAAAGGAAATTTTGGGAGCTAGAAGGAAAGGAAAACAGATGAAACCTTGGTGGGACAGCTCTAAGACTTGCAGTGGAAATGAGGAACCACTGTGTAAGAGACTTTGAAGAACATAAAAAGAAAAAGCCACATTTATTGCACAAAAATCATTAAATATTTTTCAGCAGACATTTGTAGTAGTATTTTTTTCTTTCATTACTACCACATGCATTATCTGTGGAGCCAATCCTGTTTCAAACCTAGTATAAGCTTAATGGCGAATCACAAAAGAGCTGTAAGTAATCAGAAGCAAGCACTATTTTACCTCACAATCCTTTTTATCCTCACATCCTCACAACCATTGCTATATTTTAGCCCATTGCTGCAGCCACTGTGCCAATCCATCTCCTTGAAAGTCTCCCCTTTTTACTGATCCTCTACTTTACCAGCAAGCCCTGGTGGCTAGTGGCTAAGGCACTTGACTGCTAACCAGAAGGCTGGTGGTTCAAACCCACCAGCCACTCCTTAGAAGGAAAGTTGGGCAATCTACCTCCATAGTGATACCACCTCGGAAACCCAGGGAGGGGTCGCTATGAGTCGGGTCCGACTCAACAGCACATAACAATAACTACTTTACCAAGCATGACACCCTTCTTAAGGGACTGGTCCCTCCTGGTAACATGACCAAAGTGTGAGAGAGGAAGTCTGGCCATTCTCCCTTCTAAAGAGCATTCTGGCTGTACTTCTTCCAAGACAGATTTGTTTTTCTTCTGGCAACCCATGGTATTTTCAATATTCTTCAACACCACAATTCAAATGAACCAATTCTTCTTCAGTCTTCTTTCCTTATTCTCCAGCTTTCACATCCAGATGAGGTTGTTTAAAGACAATGGCTTCGGTCAGGCGTACCTTACTCTTCAAGGCAACATCTTGGCTCTTTAACACTTTAAAGAGATCTTTTGCAGCAGATTTGCCCAATACAATAAGTCATTTGATTTCTTGACAGCTGCTTCCATGTGCGTTGATTGTGAATCCTTGTAAAATGAAATCCTTGACAACTTCAATCTTTTCTCCATTTATCAAGATGTTGCTTATTGGCCCAATAGTGAGGATTTTTGTTTTATTTATGTTGAGGTATAATCCATATTGAAGGCTACAGTCTTTGATTTTCATCAGTAAGTGCTTCATGTCCTCTTAGCTTTCAGCAAGCAAGGTTGTGTCATCTGAATATCGCAATTGTAAATTAAGTCTTCCTCCAATCCTGATGCCACATTCTTTTCATATAGTCCAATTTCTTGGAGTATTTGCTCAGCATACAGAGTGAATAAATATGATGAAAGGATACAACCGTGCTGCACACCTTTCCCAATTTTAAACCAAGCTGAATCCCCTTATTTTGTTTGAACAACTGCCTCTTGTTCTATATGCAGGTTCCTTATGAGCACAATTAAGTGTTCTGGAATTCCTATTCTACATAATGCTATCGATAATTTGTTATGATGCACACATCAAATGCCATTGCAAAGTCAATAAAACACTGGTAAACATCTTTGTGGTATTCCTTGTTTTCAACCAAGATCCATTTGACATCAGCAATGGTATCCCTGTGTTCCACGCCCTCTTCTGAATCTAACTTGAATTTCTGGCTGTTCCCTGTTGATGTACTGCTGCAACCATTTTTGGATTATTTTCAGCAAGATGTTACTTGCTTGTGATATTAATAGCGTTGTTCAATAATTTCTGCATTATCTTGGATTACCTTTCTTGGAATGACCATAAATATAGATCTCTTCTAGTCAGTTGGCCAGTTAGCTGTCTTCCCAATTTCTTGGCATAAACAAGTGAGGGCTTCCAGTGTTGCATCTGTTTGTTGAAACATCTCAGTGGGTATTCCTTAAATTTCTGGAGCCTTGTTTTTCACCAGTTCCTTCAGTGCAGCTTGGACTTCTTCCTTTAACACCATCGATTCTTGATCATATGGTGCTTCCTGAAGTGACTGAGCATTGACCAATTGTTTTTGGTACAGTGACTCTGTATATTCCTTCCATCTTCTTTCGATGCTTCCTGCATCATTCAATATTTTGCACATAGAATCCTTCAATAGTTCAACTTAAGGGTTGAATTTTTTCTTCAGTTCTTTCAGCTTGAGAAATGCTGATCATGTTATTCCCTTTTAATTTTCTAACTCCAGCTCTTTGCACATTTCCTTATAATATTTTACTTTGTCTTCTTGAGCCACCCTTTGAAATCTTCTGTTCAGATCTTTTACTTCATCATTTCTTTCATTTGCTTTAGCTACTCACCATTCAAGAGTAAGTTTCAAAGTCTATCAGCACCATTTTTTCCAATAACATTTGCTCACCTCATGTCTCTATGTCACATTTTGGTTATTCTCACAATATTTCAAATTTTTCAGAATGCTATTGTGCATTTAATGGCTTACATTATAATTAAACATTAACTTTTATATGCACTGGGAAACCAAAAAATAGTGTGACTCACTTTATTATAATATTCAATTTATTGAGATGGTCTATAACTGGACCTGCAATATCTCCAAGGTATTCCTGTACAACATAGCAATTAAACTGAATGTTGAAGTAAAACTGAACAAATGCTTGTAATTAAAATATTTTTGGTGATCTTACATTAAAAATGTCTGGAAAAACCCTGACAAATGTGGTTTTTCCAGGGTAACATTTGTTAAATATTGTCTGGTTTTTTTTTTTTTTTTTTTAATTTTTGCAAGAGGAGATGTATCTTGTTCATATTTACTTATTTTGATCCTGTTCCTATGTTTCCTGCTGCTGCCAATTCATAGACAGAGTTTAACTGCCCTACGGGATTTCCAAAGCTGTAAATCTTTACAGCAGCAGACTGCCATGACACATCTTTCTCCCACAGAGAGATCTGGTGGGTTCCAACCATTGACCTTCCGGCTGGTGTTTAACTACTGTGCCACCATGGCTCTTGTTTCTATGTTTACCTACCATTTAATTGGTAAAGGTTCTGTGTTACTTGTGCAATTATTCACTGAACAGCTTACTTGGCATTCTGGGGTGAATACAGGCCTTTATTATTTTCCATGAACCAAGGGGAAGAGTTTACTGGGTGTTGGGTGAGAAGATAATCCTCAGAATAGCAGTCCTCACTGTTAAGGGAGCCAGAGTAAACCTCACTGATCCTTTTTCTTCAGTGTCTATAGTACTTTTGAAGAAATATTTCTCCTTTGACCTTTTCATGAATAAATAGTTGACTGTATACCAAAGAATTATGTAAAAGACAACAATATTTCAACTTCTCAGTTAAATATCATTCTTACCAATTAGTGCCTTTTCATAGTAAAGAAACGATTTTATTTTGGTCCCTTTT